ATGTATTAATCTTGATAAGTAGATTAAATTATTCCATAATTTAGTCCGCTCTAGATATCCACAAACTCCGTCGGAAAAATTATCGGACACTCTGTACACACACACACACACACAAATACGGGGTATCTAACAATTACTATACAATATTTTTTTAAAGTGAATTTTAGAGGCCTATATGAAGTTAACCTCCCACTTTTAGAATTCACTTATTTTGAAAATTGGCATTGTGCTAGGTTTGTGCTACAATGTGTTCAAGTATTAAAGTCAAAATACGAAAAATACATTAAAAAATAAAAAAAACACTTTAGCAGATCCGCAAATATGCCGTGAAAAATTCGTCCGCGTATAGGCGTCTCTTTGTCACATCGCAGTGATAAAGTCGACTGGCTTTTTTGTAGACCCCCCCCCACTTTACGATTTTTTTCAATTTTTATGATTGTGCTAGGTTGTGCTAAGTTGTGTTAACATTGTGCCAAAATGGTATCCTCAAATAATGACAATAACAGAAATTATAATAAAAAATGATTTTTCACAATTCGTGACAAAAAAAATAACGCTAACTTTCATTTTCGTATTAGGATTTTTACTTTATCTCTAGAATATGCTGTGAAAGTATTGCACACACACATGCACGCATGCATATAACTATATTAATACTAACTTTAAGGCATGTTGATACAATTTGATGCAGCCAATTATGTCACGATATACTTCATCATCCTTAATATTAGGTTCAAATAATACAAAATCCGAGCTTCGTATGCGCTCTATGTTATAGCTGCTTAAAAATTATAATATCGTAACACACAAAAAATGAATTCTTAAAGAAATGCATAAATGCTTTAATCCAAGAATATTTTATGCTTAGAATAGCGCCAAGAATAAACAATTTCCCATTAAAAATAAATTATTCGTAAAATAAAATAAATTTTAATCTTCAAAACAAATTTTATTTCAGTAAAAGAATAAAATTGCACTCGTTCAATACTAAATATACTTATATTAGCATTATTTTTTCTTCAATGATTTCTTTTGTCAACTTATTTCAAATTCTCATTATGTTTTCCAGTAACATCAAGATGACAGAAATCAATGCTGCAATAAGTGACAATAGCTTTGTAAATGAAATGCCACATTTATAGAGCATGCCTCCTAATGTGCACGGGGTAGAAGCTCCCAAGAAAAAATTGAATCAAACTTAGATTATTCCCTCTACTAATGTAACTCAAAAGCAAGTGAAATGCTGAGCCTGTTCTACTATACCTCCGTTAACCATATTGTGAATAAGGATACAAACAGACGATCAATTTTGTCACAATCGTAGAGAACGTTTCATATACTGATCCGTCGCGACGGATTCATTGCTCATCTCACCTATTTAACTGTGGATAGCAGATCCGCAAATATGCCGTGAAAAATTCGTCCGCGTATAGGCATCTCTTTGTCACATCGCAGTGATAAAGTCGACTGGCTGTTCGCGCATCTCCATTTGCAATATAACTAACAGAAATATTAGAACGAGTTGAATATTTCAACCACCCTTAAAGATTGAACACACATTTAGAGGTATGTTCCACGAATACAACAACTTATTCAACAAATCATCACGAACCATCATCAATCGTCATTCATTACATTCATGCACTTCTGACATCTTGATATTACTGAGGAATTTTTATACATATTGTTGCCGCCTGCCGGCGAATTTTCAAATTTGTAATTCTTAATCCAAGAATAAATAATTTGTAAATAATGCGATTGAGTTTGTTAGAATCATATAATAATTTTAGAAACAAGAATACTATTTTAAGAATAACATATTCTTTGCATAAATCTATTTATTATTGATGCCCAAGGTTAAATAGTGCTAAGTTTAAAAAATAAAAGTTAATTTTTTTTATAAATTTTTGAAAAGAGATCTTGATATAGCCTTTTTCGAAATGGCAATTTACCGTAAGCATTCGAACAACGCGCAGACATGCTGAGTATAAAATGTAAACATTGTGTCGATGGCTGTCAGCACACAAGCTATGTAGAATACGCTAATAAATCCGTGAAGCATCATTATATTGAAATATTTGTCTATATCAAGAACATGGTCCATACGATATAGAAACTTGGCAGTGTACGTTTCGTTTGTAGGTAAAAGCGTGTATATCTCACTAACAATGATCGGTGGAGTAGTATAGAAAAGCCATAGCACGTACATAGCAGCTGGAAATATAAGTTACTTCTTTTCCTCTATATGTTTCAAAAGTTACAACATTTACAAAAAAAACGGAGTTTATTTAATAAAAATAAAAAGTTTATTTAATAAAACAAAAATGTGAACTTCACGTTCAAAAAAAGTTTGCAAACACTTTCTTACTTATATAATGCTCTCGGAAATATTTCGAAAAAAATGACGAAAAAGAAATTATTTTGGACAAACAATAACAAGAATGAAGTAAAAGAGAGGATAAAGAGCTAGAAATAATTTCTCATATACTGTCAGATGTGTATCCGATAGAAAAAAATGAACAAATTTTAAAATAAAGGTAATTTACTCGCGTATTGTATCGTGAACATTCTGCTTTTCTCTGCGTAATGCTGTAATATTTTTTTCTCTGAATCTGTATGTTTTATCTTCCATGTCTCTTCGATGTCCTCCAAAAGTTCTTTCATCTGTAGCTCGAAAAAATAATTCACATACAATCACAGAATGATTCAATTCGTGTTTTATACAACCGAAAGATACGAACTTTGTCATTCGTAAATATGCAATTGACGAGCTTTATAATGACGAGACTATTCACCAGTAACAGCGAAACGTTTTCCATAATGATGCTCAGATCTGTTATTCCAGCTGCTAAGGCCCATATCTGTCAAAAATCAGAAACATAAATTAAAATTATTAATGCTAATTTTAATGTATCCTTATTATGCGGTTTTTTAAACACCTCAAAGACTGTCAAACTATAAATGAACAAAGATGTAATTGCGAACATCATGTTACTCTCCAGTCGCGACTGAAATGGCCATTGGCCGATTATGATCAGAAATCTTTTGTTAAGATAATAGTAGCGATTGTCAAAGAAGGACATTGAGAGAAAGTAATCATTCGAAATGATCAGATATCTCGTCGAGTATTCTCGTCTAATCGCAGAATTTATTTCTTTGAAATAATATTTCCGTATTCCTTTGAGAGAAAAAGAAAAGTAGCGAAACGAAAAAACATTGAAGTGTATTCCACAGTGTATTACGCAATCACATATTTATGAGTAATGAAAAGCGTTTCTCTCAACAGACAAATCCTTTTTGTGATCGAAGAGGTCTATATAACTACGACTCTACACTGTGTATACATCGTTTTATAAAGCAAGTGAAATTCCTAAAACTATAAGATAAATGATGGCAAGATATATCCAAATTGTTGTAGAATCACAAAAATGAAACCGTTTTATTTTATTTATACTAAAAAAAATTAGTTGATATATTTCAGTAATTAATTTTATCATATTTAGTATAATATTTTTACATTATATTATATATACTGATGCTGCTGCAGATAGAATTTGAAAAAAAAAGAAGGATCGTAAGTTCATTTTCTTTTTTCTTCTCTTTTCTCTTTTTTTCCAAAAGATTAAATTTTAGACAATGTTTAAACTTAAAATTTAGTAATATCTTCATTTATTTATACTATTTTTTTACATTATTAACGTGACATATTCATATTTTGTCAATTTTATCGTAAAAACTTTTTACTGTGGAAGTTTAAATAATTTAATTTTCAATTAGGTAAAAAACTATTTTCTGCCATAATTTTCTAGATAATTCATATTAGTATACTACAAATTTTTATATTCGATAAAAAGTTTTGTTTGTTCCTATAATGTAATTATTTCAATTATTTGAAGCATAATTTGTAGCTGACTTTTAAATTTTTATATATGTTTATATATTTTTTCTATATTTTTCTTACACTCTTATATATTAAAAGTATCGAACATTCAACATTCATCGCAAATGCGGAACGATCCAATCAAATTTTTTAATTAATTTGGCAGAAGATTAATATGTTAGAAGATTGCACAAATATTCTGTAAGAGAATAAATACAAAAAGTATCGACACAGTTTGTAAACAAACCGTGAAAACATATTTTTATAGTTAAAATTAACAATTATGATATATTAAATAAATCTGCATTTTATTCATTTATCTTAAAATTTATGTTAAATACTTTATTTTGACATTATTTGTTTATTTTGATGATTCATCACAAAAATTATGTCATTTTAATAAATGTTGAATATCATTTTAACAAAAAACCTTTAAATAACATAATTCATAAATAACATAACTCATTATGTTAATTAAACACTCAAATGTATTAAAAAATTCAACATAAACTATTATCAAGAACGTGAATAAACTACCAACACATTTCCAACACAAATACATAATGTACTATGTATTATGTATTCAAGTATATAATTGCATGCAAATTATTAAAATTTATTAAATTTATTAAGATAGAAACTTAATTTGTAAATTAACCAAAAAAATGAGAATAAGAAATATAATATTTTAAAGTTGTAAAAGATAAAAATTTTTCCCACACCTAATAATATACTTGAGAACAAAAATCCTTTTATTTATAAAATTCTTCTTTTATTTATAAAATTCTTTTATTTATCTTTTTGTCAACAAGCACAAACAGCAGACATTCATGTTACAAATAATTATATATTATCCGAGTTTAATGATACCATTAACATAAGATATCGTTAACGTTTAATAATATATAACGTAGGAAGCGGATGTTTTCATCAGGTTAAAAATATAATACAGTTAAGATGTATATATTTTATAATTTTGAGTATGCATAATTGAATAAAATATTTTTATATATTTTAGGCATTGTTAAAAAAAAAATTATTTATACAAATTTGAGATTTATTTAATCTTCTAACTAATATTCATATACTGAATTTTATCATACCGAGCCGTAATTTTCAAGCAGATTATATATAATTTTGCAATAGTTATGTGATATAGTTTTTGACATTTCATTAATAGAAATAACAACATTTTTTGCTTCTCGAACACGTTTGATACCACGTTCCGTTATATCTAAAAGTTTTATATTTTTCAAATTAGTCATCGTTGCTAATTAATTACATTAATAACTTGCGCGGCAAAAGAAATTTGAGAATTATGATCTATTATTTTCTGTCCTCGTCATGGAAGAAGAATTGAAGAGATTGAATGACTACAAGTGGACCGTGTCTTATCAATTTCGTACGAGTCACTATCTGCGAAAATTCCATATTAGTGATCTTAAATCAATACAAAATATTTTTTTTCATAACATGTACTAGTGGATCAGTATAGTTTATTAAATTGATAGACATTAATTGTGTATAGAATATTTATTATTATCATCAAGCAGTACATTAAAGTAGAATTAACTAAACTAATGTCGGTGACAAAACATATCGCGAACGTTGATTCAATCAAATTAGTCTATTTTTCTATTGATAGCAAATAAAGATAGGAAAATTCGTATCATATTTGTAATATTTTCCGATAGACTTTAACTTTGTTCAATTTATAAAAACCTCCTCAGTAAGCAAGAAACATTTTGGAACATTTCAACAACGTTGTAGTAACATTGCAACATGGTTATTGGATCTCTATTCTAATTTATCTTCTATTCTAATTTTAATTGTATTCATTTCATTATGTTTTCAACATCGTTATCCCCTTTAAATGATTTTGCGCACTTCATTTGATATTATTTTAGGGATATCGATTCGCAAAAAAATATACATATAATAAATTGAATTAAATGGAATCAGTAATAAAGGGGAAACGCCTCCCGCAAGCAAACGACACGCAGAGTTCTACAATTTTAATTTATGCATCTCATGGACGTTATTTAAAGTATTGCATAAAACAGTACAGATGATAGTTTAATTTTGAATAATATATTTGCTATTGTAAAACAGAGCATACAGTATTATAGTCCGTCGCCATACGTCAATTATTTTAGATATACAGAGTGTCCCGTAAGTTTTTGCCAAGAGCTTGTGTCTAGATAGAACGGACTAAATTGAGTCAAAAAGTCTTCTACCATTTTGTAATTTTCGCAATGGTTAACAAGGTATTAATTATTAGATATCGCTGAATATTAACCTTCGACAATTTTTACACAAATATTATCAACTTTATAGAAAAACAATGAGAGAAAATTATTTATTTTTTTGTCATATAGTTCTGAAGAAAATTTTTTCAGAATTTTTTAATACATATTTTCTCATGTTGATAAAAATAATAAAATGCGGTACTAAAAAGTTCACAAAAAATTCTGAAAAAATTCTTAGAATTCGATGAGAAGAAAATAAATGATTTTTGTCTTTTGTAGTTTTTCTGTAAAGTTGATAACATTTGAGTAAAAAATTATTGAAGACCAATATTCAGTAATTTTTAGTAATTAATATATAGTATTATAACGTTGTCTACATTATTACTGCAATCTTTTAACAACGAACTGGCAGATTGTTTTTACATAATGAATTTTTCTTTTATAATTGGATTTACTATTTTATACAACAAAGTATTTAAAAGTATAGTTTTTTACAACAAGCGTTAAAGACTTTATATCAATCATAGTGTTAACTCCGTTTATAGACATGAATTTTACAAAGATGAACTTGTTATATTCGAATTGATTTGGTTATGCAATTTTTGACATCACTTATGGAAGGAAAATTTTATCAGTATTTATAACTATTCTGTATGATTTCGTAATCAGTTGTTGTTATTTGTTAAGGTTTATTCCGACGTTATTATTTTGTAAATTTAAATTTGTTTTCTGTCATTGAAAATGACTCGATAAGGAGTTAAAACATGTATAATCTAATATTATTAAATAGTCTTTTGTATTTATATCTGGCTCGTTGCTCAACCTTTTATATTTTGATTTATTCAAATCGAGCCATCGTATTTCTTTTTATAATTAATGTCTTGTTAATATTGTGAATATTGCAAAATGATAAACGATTTTTCGATTCAGTTTAGTCCTCTCTATCTACATAAAAGCGCTGGGTAAAAATTTACGGGACACTTTGTATATATCTATAAAATAAAAAATATTCATTTATAAAATGGTTAAAAGCAATAATTTGATTTACAGCAAACAGTAAGTTGCGCAGTAATAGATTGTTTATTTAATAGACATATGTCTAAACAAATTAAAACAATATCAAAAGATGATTCTATTGTAAGTACAAAGATGAATATAAAAATATCTCTTAGAGTTTTGTAATATGAAAATAAATATTGTATAAATATATATTGTATAAATATATATATTATATATTTAACAATTAAAATTTGTATTTTTCTTTTGAGATCTAATGTATATGACATACTAACAAGTGTCAGATTCATGATGATTATTTGCTGCTTCGTTCTTCATGCATTGACAATATTACTGTGCTATATGTGAGTAATATTACATTATCTTTAAAAAATGTTACATTATTATATTGATGTATGCGCAACAAAAATGTTTTAATGACACGTAATATACAAAGATCATATATCATTATAGACACAGACTATGGTATTTCAGAATACGTAGGAATTCATGTTGTCATGACATTTGCAAACGACTAATTATTGCCATATTAAATTTTTTACTGTGAAAATTTTCAAATAATTTAATTTTTAATTAGATAAGAGGTCATCTTTGTCATAATTTTTTTAATAATTGATATTATTTTTTAAATAAATTAAATAAACTTTTTATAATCGATAAAGGATTCTGTTTGCTCCTATAATGTAATATTATTTGGAGCATAATTTGTAATTAATTTTTGAATACTTTTAATTATATTTTTTTTTATTGATTTCCACATTGTTTTATTGATTTCCATATCAGAAAAATTATGTCAAATTTAACATAAATTGCAAACAGTCCATTCAAATTTTTCAATTAATTTAACACAAGATGAATATGTTAAAAAGTTAAAAATATATATAAGAGAATAAATACAAAAAAATGTCACAGTTTGGAAACAAACCGACATATTTTTTGTGGAAACATATACTTTTCTATTAATTAGAATTTATACTATGCAAAATTTATCAACATTTTATTAATTCATCATAGAATTTACATTTTATGTTTATGTTATTTGTTCATTTATTTATAAATTGTTATTTTTTGACACTAAGAATTGTCAAATATCATTTTAAAATGTAATCTTTAAATAAATATTCATATTATGTCAATTTAATACTCGAATATGTTAAAAAATTCAATAGAAACTATTAACATGAAATTAAACGTCCACGTGAGTGGACGGTTTAACACAAATACACAATTTTTTACTGTGTAGGTACACGAATTTATAATTACATACAAATTACTATAATTTATTAAATTTACTAGGGTAGAAGCATGATTGAAAATTAATTAAGAAATGAGAATAAGAAATATAATATTGTAAAAATTATAAAAAATTAAAATTTTTGATAATACATATAATAACAAAAAATACTTCTATTTATAATTACCTTCTTGACAACAAATCACAGATCTCTATATTACAAATGATTACATATCCGAGTTGAATGATACCATTACTGTAACGTAGTAAGCGGATGTTCTCATGAACTTAAAAATATAATGTAAAAATATAATGTAAATGTACATTATTAAAATATATATTTTTTATATATAATTTTATGCAAAATTGAATAAAATATTTTTATATATTTTAGACACTGTTAAAAAATAAGTGGAAATTATTCAGATTAATGAACATCGAATCAATGACCTTATCAAATGTCAAGGCCATAATCCTGTGTGATTTTCAAAAAAAGTTGACGATCACTGTATTACACACATTCAAAAGTTATTAATAAATTAAGTTTAAAAAATTATATCTTATTTCTGCTATACATACTTTATACATATATTGACGGGCATATGATTTTCCACATGAAAAAAGTTTCACCTTCACCTTTTCTCTACCTCGGGGCATAAGATAGCAGAAATAAGATATTATTTTTTAAACTTAATTTGTTAATAACTTTTAAACTTTTTACAGTGGAAAATTCCATCACATGGAAAATCAAATGCCTCTAAGGAAGTGTATAAGGTAGTTTTCAATATTGCATGTAGTAAACATACAACTTAGAAATAAGACATTTTTTAAATTTTATTTGTTAATAACTTTTGGACGAATACACACCTGTGACCGACGTAACACCTAATATTTTTTGAAAATTATCCAGTATGACCTTGACAACTTAGTCAAGATCAAGGTCCGTTAATCTGAATAATCACCAAATAAATTTATACAAAAATTTGAAATTTAAATTTGAAATTTACTTATTTTTGCAGCTAATATTTATGTATTGAATTTTATCATACCGAGCTGTAACTTTCCAAACAGATTGCATATAATTTCGCTGCAGTTATGTGATACGGTTTTTGACACTTCATTATTAATAATAGCAACATCTTTTTTGCTTCTAAAGACATTTGGTACCATATTCCATTATATCTAAAAATTTTATAATTTTCAAATTAGTCATCATTATTTACATTAATAATGACATACATTATTATACATCATTATTTACATCAATAATTTCAATAATAAATAATTAATTACATTAATAACTTACGCGGCAACAGAAATTTGAGAACTGTGATCTATTATTTGCTGTCCTAGCCAGCTAGTGAAAAAAAATCGAAGAGATTGAATAATTACAAGCGGACCGTTTCTTGCCAATTCCGTACAAGTGACAATCTGCAAAAATTCTATATTAGCGATTCGTTTTGAAACAATACGAAAATATTTTCCGTCGCAGTATGTAATAGTGGACCAATAGTTTATTAAATAAATATTAATTGTGTATTAAATGTTTATAATAACCCTAACACATCCAGAACATTGAAGTAGAACTCCTAAGCCAACGTCAGCGGAAAGACATATCGCGAAGGTCGTCTCAATCAAGTAGATTAATCTAACAAATAGATAACAAATAGAAATAGGAAATTGATAACAAATAGAAATAGGAAAATCATTAATAATATTTTCTGATATATCTTAATTTTGCTCGATTTATTATAAGAACCTCTCTATTCTGATTTGTAGTTGTATACAATGCACCATGTTGTCAACATCTGTATTCCCTTTAGATGTGGGATTAAAACATTTTTTCGATTTATCATATGCAGCCAAATGATAACTGTAAGTATATAGTCATATACTACATAAGAGTAACATTGTATTTTATTATAAATCGATAAGTAAATCAAAGCAAAGTTAGAATACCTCAGTATAGCTAATGTACCACAAGTATGTTGCAGCAGGGCGAAATAGATGGTATCGGTTGCGATTACTATTATACCGCATACCGCGTATCCTACAAACGTAATTATCAAAAGAATGTAATAATACTTTTCCATATCCAAGAAGAATTCTGTCGGGTGCGGCATTCGCTTTGATCTTGTTATATTTGACATTAATATACTCTCAAGTAACGGTATGGTGAGTGGTGCTGTTACAAAACTGGCTATGCTTGTACTTGCAAAAACTAATAAAAGGAAACACATAATTGCATAATTGCTTTGCATAATTGCTTAGAAAAACGATTAATGAGTATAATACTTATCGTTACACGGAAAAAATGTCTACGATTGCCACAATCAAAAGTCGCCCATTAATACATTTTTTGGTTAAAAGAACTATATACAATTATATTATATAACCGTATAAGATTGACATACCTTGACGGGTATATGGCTATAAAGAAAAATCCAGCTTATAGTTACCACAATCAAATGTATTGATGGGCGAAAATTATTATTTTTGATTGTGATAATCGTAACATTTTTTTGTGTAAGTGTACTTGAGTAGACTAGCGTGAATATTCGATTTTTCTCCATGTATTCCATTAAAATCCACATATCATTGTATTTCGTCGATAAGCACCAATCGTGACGAACATGCTGAAGGAGCATTCTAAACTGCAGTCATACCAATTTTTCTTAGACAAAAAAAAAACATTCTGCATTGCGGCGAACTTACTTTTTCAGTTTGCCAATGGAGACTAATTGTTTTGAAGAGACATAAAAAGGTGCCAATAAAAGTTAATAGAACATCGTAAAAGTCGTTCAAATTTCTCATGCGTTTGAACAAGAATGCAATCTATTAATAAATTATATTGAATCTAATATGGGATATATAACTTTTTGTATAACATTATAAAGTAATTTAAATAGCGTAAAAATTACTAACAATTTTAGAAAATGTATATATTGTAAATTTCAATATTAATTTTCTTACGATTTTTTTCTAACTTATGTACAAGAATTTATACCTGCGGCAGTAATAGAATCAATATACCAAACATTGTACAATAAAAAAATTTCTTTTTGTTAGATTGCATTGGCCACAAGCCGAGAAATGACAACAATAGCTTGTTAACTCGAAAATATCGGGTATCAAAAACGTCTATTGGTTGATTCATTTTCAAGCGGAATTCTTGAATAACTGAAGGTAAGGTTTCCGTCAATCCTCCGCACGGTTCATTTAATATTCTCTTGGGGTGTCGATGCTTTCGCAAAGAGAAATATACATATAATATGTTGAATTAAATAGAATAAATAATAAAGGGGAAACGCCTCCCGCAAGCGAGTGACACGCAGAGTCCTACAATTTTAATTTCGCATGCCACTGACATTGTATGAAGCAACACAGATGATAGCGTTTAATTCTGAATAATATATTCGCTTTTGTAATACAAAGAAGACAGCAGTTATACTTCATATAGTCGCCATACGTCAATTATTTTAGATATATATTTCTATATTATGAAATAAAAAAATATTATCATTTATAAAATAGTTAAAAGCAATAATTTGATTTATAGCAAACAATAAGTTGTGCAGTTAATTGTTTATTAAACAGAAATATGTCTAAACAAATTAAAACAATATATCAAAAGATATAATATTATAAATACAAAGATGAATATAAAAATATTTCTTAGAGTTTTATAATATGAAAATATATATTGTATAAATATATTATATATTTGACACTTATACATACTATTTATTTATATTTTTCTATTAAAATCTAATAAGATATATGACATACCTACTACCGACTGCAAGATTTATTATGATTATTTGCTGCTTCGTTCTTCACGCATTGAGAATATTACACTGCATATGTGAGTGATGCTTTCATTATTTTTAAAAAATGTTACATATTATTATGTTGATGTAATATGCGCAACAAAAATGTTTTAATATATTGGATTATACAAAAAGTTCGTGCCGACTAATCTATATAATTTAATAAATGTATACTAAAATTTAAATCTTCTGCGTTTCAATTTTCCTTCAACATCGAACTTTCCGGACAACCCAGTAATAACACATAATATACAAAGATCATATATCATTATACACATAGACTATTTCAGAATACGTAGGAATTTATGTTGAGGATTTTCATGACATTTGAAAACGATTAATTATTGTCATATTAAACTTTTCACTGTGAAAGTTTTCAAATAATTTAGTTTGTAATTAGGTAAGAATTTTTTAGATAATTAATATATTAATTTTTTAATAAGTTTTTAAATTTTTTATATTCGATAAACGATTTTGTTCACTCCTATAATGTCATATTATTTGAAGTATAATTTGTAGCTAACTTTTGAATATTTTTAGTTATATTTTTTTTTACTTTTCCACACTGTTAAAAAAAGTGTGTCAAAATTTAACATTAATTAATTATTAACATTAATCATTAACATTAACATTAATTATTAATAGCAAGCAATTATTAAATAGCCAAACGTCCACTCAAATTTTTTGGTTAATTTAACACAAGATGAATATGTTAAAAATATTATGTATATAAAAGAAAAAAAGTCATAGTTTGGAAACAAATCAACATATTTTTTATGGAAGCATTTTTAGTTTAGTACTTTTTTAGTTAATTAAAATTAATTTATGATATGTTAAATTAATCAACATTTTATTGATTCATCTTAGAATTTACATTTTAAAACATTTTATGTTTATATTATTTGTTCATTTATTCATAAATTGTGTTATTTTGACACTAAGAAATGTTGAGTATCATTTTAATCACACATAATCTTTAAATAACATATTCATATTCGATTCATGTTCATGTCTCGAATGTTAAATTAAAAAATTTAACACGAATTAACATGAACATGAATAAATGATTTAATTCAACACAAATACATAATTTTTACTGTGTACACAATTATATAATTGCATACAAATTATTATAATTTATTAAATTTACTAAGGTAGAAGCTTAATTGAAAATTAATTAAGAAATGAGAATAAGAAATGTAATATTGTAAAAATTGTAAAAGATTAAAATTTTTAATAATACATATGGGAACAAAAATATTTCTATTTGTAATTATCTTCTGGATAACAAATCATAGATCTCCTTATTACAATAATTACATATCCGATTTCAATGATACCATTATCATAATGTAGAAAACGGTTGTTCTCATAAACTTAAATATAGTGTAATATTAGGTGTAGTAAAAAGAAATTCATTATTTTTCCATTCAATTTCATGCAAAAATAATGGATTTCTTTTTACTACACCTAATATTAAAATGTATATTTTTAGTATTTAAATGTATATTTGATAAATGTAATATTAAAATGTATATTTTTAATATATAATTTTGTGTATGCAAAATGTTGCATAAAAATTTTTATATATTTTAGGCATTGTTAAAAAATAAATGAAAATTATTCAGATTAACGGACATCATGCCAATGACCTTGACCTTATTATAGGTCATGACCCCGTGTGACTTTCAAAAGATTTTAACTCATGGTCACTGTATATTCAAAAGTTATTAAATTAAGTTTAAAAAATGTCTTTCTTCTGCTATACTTTATACATATTCTGACGGGGGAGTGTTAACGGTAGTTTAATAGAGTTAGCGTTTCAAGACCAAAAAAAAATTATTTCGGCGTGCCTTTCTGGGATTACATATGTAGTATATAAATTCACATAAGAATCATACAAGCATTAAGATCCATCTAGATCGTTTAAGGCTTTGATTTCTATAGTTTTGTGTTATCACATATACGATCCTATAATATATTATATTGTTTATTTATGTCGTCTAAAGAGACATTGTTCTTTCATATGCCAAGTATTGCGAAGAATGTTACTAACTCTCGGTAGTCTAAAAACTTAAGATGCTCGCACGGAATGCAAGAGATCCGGGTTCGACTCTCGGCCGGGGTAATATTTTTCGCAATAAAAATTAATTATTTACTGATTTTAATATGTCATTCAACATTATTAAGATCATTTCGAAGATGCGAATCAAAAATTTGTTAAATTACTAGTCAATTTAACTCATGATACTACTGCGGCAGTTCTAATTAATGATTAGAAATAATATATTATGGATGAGTCATCGAGCTCATTCCATGTGTGTGTGTGTGTGTGTGTGTGTGTGTGTGTGTGTGTGTGTGTGTGTGTGTGTGTGTGTGTGTCCACCTATTCGTATTGACTCAATTACTACTAAATGTCTATCTAGATAGATGTCTATCTAGATCGCACAAACAGACAAATTCTCTTTGTGATCGAAGAGATCTATAATTACGACTATACATTGTATGTATCCATCGTTTTATAAATCAAATGAAATTCATAAAACTGTAAAATAAATGATACATATCCAAACTGCTGCAGAATCGCAAAGATTAAACTGTCTTATTTTATTTAAATCAAAATAATAAAGTCGATATATATTGAAATAATTAACTCTATCCAGTTTTAATATTTTTGCATTATATTAAATATACAATGCTACTGTAGATAAAAGGAGATGAGTCAATTAGATGGGTTTTTGGGCCCATCATCGATCAGTCTCAAAGTGTGTTATTTTATTCTTCTGTCCAAGGCTCATGATGTTTTTTTTTTCGAAAATGATTTTTTCCGGAAGAATAATCATTTTTAAATTTCTATTTTACATGGGTTTTTGTTCTTTATAGCAAATCAAGATGCGTTTCATATTCTAAATTTTGCTCGCGCGAAATCAAACTTCCTTAAAAATCATTTTCCTTGATCTTCAAAAAAAGGCTTATTTTTCTTTTATGTTAATTCTAAAATATTTTACTTTATAAACTTCATCAGGAATAATTCCCACAAAATGGAATAAACGAACTTGAAAATACGTAAAATACAGAAAAAAATATTGACCAATGAGGTATGATAGGCCTTCAATATAATTCTTACATAATTTCAAGATATGTATTTTGGGATTTTTCTCTTTTACAATAAAAATTGTAAAAAAAAAGTTAATCAAACAAAGTTAAAAAAAATATGTTTTCGAGAACGAGCGGAATTCTTAAATGAAGTAAATAAATAATGGCCAATAAGAAAATGTGTGATTTTTTTATATGGGTCTCACACGATTCCAAGATATTTTGGGATTTTCTGGGAATGATCCTTTCAATATAGAAATTACAGAAAAAAAATCAAACAAATTCAAAAAAACATGTTTTTAGAAACAAGTAGAGTTCTTGGATAATATAAATAATAGCACAAGACCATAAAATAAAAAAAGTAAAAATTTTGTTCCGGAAGGAAGACCTACATATTCTGACGTGCTGAAATAGAATCTGTTTCCCAAAAATTCATATCTGGTCACATTTATGAGATATACATAGTAAGAAGATCCACAATCACACAATTCACATCGCAAATAA